TAAACTTAAGCAGCATCTATTATTGTGAAAGTTTTGTTTGCTTAATTGTCAGCATAGATGCTTTTAAGTAACTGAAATACATAGCAGTATGAACTTATTAAAAAAAAAATTGAGATGTTTTACAACACCAAAAATGGAACACACACCACACAATCGTTCCTCTTCCCTTTTCCGTTGTTTGTACTCTAACATTTTTCCAACAGCTCATATTGGTTTTGTACACGTTTTCTCGATTTGGTTTCTGTCCTCAATTGATGGATAATGTTGCACGTATGTGTCTTCGATTTACACCATAAACACGCACCCGAGGACAATGCTATGTGTTTCCCTTTGTCCCTGTAATATAACACTCTCCCATGGGCTAACTACATAATTGGATTGCAAAATGGCAACCGTCAGTTTTGAATCATGTGGCTTTCTTCATAAGTCTGATTGGTTAACATAAATATCGTGTCCGGTGAAATCAGACTGCTGTCCGCAACACCTTTCCGGCGATATCAGATCCGCTGAAATCGGATGCGAAAAATCAGTTGTGTGTGATTTCATCTGGTCGCCAGGTATACAGTCAGATCGGTCTGAATTTTCAGAGCACACCTCTGTACGATGGCCCAGTGAACCCGTGTACGCCGGGCTTTATTGTTCCCTTCTTTTGTTCTGATTGTTTGGACTTTTTCTTGACAAGTCCCATAAGGTTTGTATTTGAAAACCTGTTATCGTAGGTAACCCATTGTCCCAGGTCCTCTGATGCAAAGGCAGCACTGCCACCAGCTCCGGGCATATAGGGACGTACCGCAGTACAAATGGGGGGGGGGGGGGAGGGGGTGCACACTGGTTTTTGCAGGGGGGGGGGGGGGGGTGGGGGGCAGTTGGTCTTCAGGGGGGAGGGGGGGGGGCAGTCCCCCGGGCACCCACTTTGCGACGGGCCTGCATAAAGGATAACAAGATCACACATACATCTGCTTTTAGTACTCCCAATCTGAAGCTTTTTATATTTTAGATTTCATTTCTTTCGAGCTTGCAATTTAAGTTTGTTTTTCATTTGGTTTGAAGTTGCAATTTTTGTTCTGTAGTTACTGTAGTTGTTTGTGGATTTCCTTTCAAGCAGCAGATGCTTGCTCTGGCGTTGACTGCAATGGAGGATCCTGTTTTGTCTCCTTTTCCAATCCGAGCTCATCATATTTGTGTACGTGCCCTATGGGACGAACGGGACAAAACTGTGATATCAGTGAGTATAGAGGTCTCCAGAACAATGGGTTGCCAACTGGTTGAAATAGTAGAATGGATCAAGTAGGGGAATACGTGTGGGAGGGAATGCTTTTTGAGTGCAACATCCCAAAACCCCGCATGGTAAAATTGTAAGGCTAATTTTCTTCAAATATAAAGTAAGTTAGGAGATTTCACATTAAACACACCAAAAACAAAAACGATAAAAAATGAGAAAGAAAATAGGATAAGTAATAGATTAAGAACATTTTTTAAAATTTTACATCAGAAGCATTCTGATTGCTAAAAACAAAGTTTTTTTCAGTTTGCAAGGTTTCGATTCCACATAGAAAAAGGCTTAATTAATTTATGTGCTAAGCGCAAATTGGTCAAAAACCAGCCATGTATTATGCATATAGATTGTGTTATAATTTCCCCGGTAGCTTCTACTTGGTAAGCACACTTTGTGTGAGCTTAGCATAGACTACTTTAAAAGCTTTTAAAAAAAATGCTGGCTAGTAATGAATATGCATGAACATTGAACTGGCTGAATGAATCTGCTGTGGCCATGTCCTGTGGTTGGCTGGCTAGTAATGAATATGCATGAACATTGAACTTGCTGAATGAATCTGCTCTGGCCAAATCCTGTGGTTGGCTATTAGTATGCTTGAAAAATCTGCCAAATGTTGTCTCTATAATCCTGCATCTTCCGATAAATCTGCAAACCTGAATTTCCGTTTTTGCTTCTTCAGTTTTTAATTTTTTTTATTTTGCATCCAGATATTCTATAGCGATGCTGACAATTTTGCTGGATTGATTTTGGGATTGAAATTTGAAAAACGTCTGGCATACTGACTTGCTCAGAATGCTTGGCACATTTTAACTTTGAATTCCCCAGACCAAAGACACCGTTGCTAATCACATGATTCGGGGCAAGCTCTTGCATAGTTACGTAAGAGACGCTCAGCTCCAATACATTGTTCACAGTGGGTGAGAATTGCACAAGGACAGACCATGCCGGAGCTGGGGGTTGCTTGCATAAGGCTTGCCCCGAATCACGTGATATCGTAACAGTCTCTTTGGCCGTAAAATGCATGAAGTCAACATGTGCAAGGCATTTGATTAAGTCAGCATTCCAGATTGTACTCAAATTTAACTTGCAAATACTATTAGTTCCTTGGGTTGTTTGTTTGTTTGTTTGTTTGTGTTTTTTTGGTTATGCATGGTTGTTGTTCTTGTTTTTTTAGTGGATGCATGTGCCGGCATGAACTGCAACTTTGGTAGTTGTTTCGCTTCGTCCACTACACCAGATTCGTACTTTTGTCAGTGCAACAGTGGCTACACAGGCAGGCACTGTGATTCTCCGGGTGAGTGTCTTAAGGGACAAACAAAATTGATACCAGGGTCCATGATGTGAATTGAACATTTGAATATATTTTTGGCAAATTTCGAAACAAAAAAACTTTCCCAGGCCAACAAAAGTGCCGCTCTCGTGGTTATAAAGTGCTATAGTATCACCCGTTATACATGGAGCCCAGACTCCTGTCTAACGTCTGATATGTCAAAGCATGCAGATTTATGCGATTTTGCACCTCAGCCAATCGGAGTCGACTTTACTAAATCGTGACGTCATTTCATTCCTAAATCAGGACTTAAAGTTTGATTGGTCAATTCGAATGCAGTGTGTTTGTAATGCAACAACAGCCAGGCGTGTTATCGCATAACATGATAACAGCGCGCGTGACGCAGGGCTTTTTAATCCATTGTCTATGACGCGCAACGGGTGAATGACCGAAGACTTGATATAGACCGCTTGCAGACGCGTTCGATAATTGACGCGCTAAGGTGAGCGACGCCATGTTATGGGACAAAATGTGCGTGAATTGATATACGCCTGTCCCACAACATGGCGTCGCGCGTCTTCGCGCGTCGATTATCGAACGTGTCTGCAAGCGGTCTATAGAAAGCGCCCGCTGATTGGTCAAAATCTGGGATGTCAAGAGGCGGGGTCTTGCCTAATCAATCAGCGAATCTACTCACAAATCTTAGACCCATGGCATTCGCCATTCGCCATGGGTCTATTACATAGACTAATAAAGTGCCCCCTCGAAATGAAAACAAAGCTGCACCTCAAACACACACACATATAAAAGCATGTGATCGCGCTACAACTGAACTGGATATCAAAAGCAAAAGTGTCCCTCTTGCGATACAAAAAAGGTCTCTCTACATAATTAGGTAAAGGAAACACAAAGAGCAAGATGGACAACGTATTCATATTTTGTTCCTCGTCATATAGGTTTATAGCAAAATGAATGGGTCAGTTTTCTTTTCCTCCACTTTGAAAGGGACCCTTTTTCTGAGCAGGTGCCCCTTTTTCTGAGCAGGTGCCCCTTTTGGTGTTGCCCCCTCTCCACCTTCCAGTTTGCATCATCAGCATGCCATCAGCAGTCAAAAGTGTTTTGGTGTTGCCCCCTCTCCACCTTCCAGTTTGCATCATCCAGTTTGCATCATCAACATGCCATCAGCAGTCAAAAGTGTTTCTTCCTGTTAAGGTCCAGATATGCCTTGAATAAAAAAAAAAAAATTAAAATAAAAAAGTCACGCTTTTTCATCATACAACTGTGAATAGAACGGAAACATTGTGTTACTCGCAGTGTATACTTAAGCAGCATCTATTATTGTGAAAGTTTTGTTTGCTTAATTGTCAGCATAGATGCTTTTAAGTAACTGAAATACATAGCAGTATGAACTTATTAAAAAAAAAATTGAGATGTTTTACAACACCAAAAATGGAACACACACCACACAATCGTTCCTCTTCCCTTTTCCGTTGTTTGTACTCTAACATTTTTCCAACAGCTCATATTGGTTTTGTACACGTTTTCTCGATTTGGTTTCTGTCCTCAATTGATGGATAATGTTGCACGTATGTGTCTTCGATTTACACCATAAACACGCACCCGAGGACAATGCTATGTGTTTCCCTTTGTCCCTGTAATATAACACTCTCCCATGGGCTAACTACATAATTGGATTGCAAAATGGCAACCGTCAGTTTTGAATCATGTGGCTTTCTTCATAAGTCTGATTGGTTAACATAAATATCGTGTCCGGTGAAATCAGACTGCTGTCCGCAACACCTTTCCGGCGATATCAGATCCGCTGAAATCGGATGCGAAAAATCAGTTGTGTGTGATTTCATCTGGTCGCCAGGTATACAGTCAGATCGGTCTGAATTTTCAGAGCACACCTCTGTACGATGGCCCAGTGAACCCGTGTACGCCGGGCTTTATTGTTCCCTTCTTTTGTTCTGATTGTTTGGACTTTTTCTTGACAAGTCCCATAAGGTTTGTATTTGAAAACCTGTTATCGTAGGTAACCCATTGTCCCAGGTCCTCTGATGCAAAGGCAGCACTGCCACCAGCTCCGGGCATATAGGGACGTACCGCAGTACAAATGGGGGGGGGGGGGAGGGGGTGCACACTGGTTTTTGCAGGGGGGGGTGGGGGGCAGTTGGTCTTCAGGGGGGAGGGGGGGGGGCAGTCCCCCGGGCACCCACTTTGCGACGGGCCTGCATAAAGGATAACAAGATCACACATACATCTGCTTTTAGTACTCCCAATCTGAAGCTTTTTATATTTTAGATTTCATTTCTTTCGAGCTTGCAATTTAAGTTTGTTTTTCATTTGGTTTGAAGTTGCAATTTTTGTTCTGTAGTTACTGTAGTTGTTTGTGGATTTCCTTTCAAGCAGCAGATGCTTGCTCTGGCGTTGACTGCAATGGAGGATCCTGTTTTGTCTCCTTTTCCAATCCGAGCTCATCATATTTGTGTACGTGCCCTATGGGACGAACGGGACAAAACTGTGATATCAGTGAGTATAGAGGTCTCCAGAACAATGGGTTGCCAACTGGTTGAAATAGTAGAATGGATCAAGTAGGGGAATACGTGTGGGAGGGAATGCTTTTTGAGTGCAACATCCCAAAACCCCGCATGGTAAAATTGTAAGGCTAATTTTCTTCAAATATAAAGTAAGTTAGGAGATTTCACATTAAACACACCAAAAACAAAAACGATAAAAAATGAGAAAGAAAATAGGATAAGTAATAGATTAAGAACATTTTTTAAAATTTTACATCAGAAGCATTCTGATTGCTAAAAACAAAGTTTTTTTCAGTTTGCAAGGTTTCGATTCCACATAGAAAAAGGCTTAATTAATTTATGTGCTAAGCGCAAATTGGTCAAAAACCAGCCATGTATTATGCATATAGATTGTGTTATAATTTCCCCGGTAGCTTCTACTTGGTAAGCACACTTTGTGTGAGCTTAGCATAGACTACTTTAAAAGCTTTTAAAAAAAATGCTGGCTAGTAATGAATATGCATGAACATTGAACTGGCTGAATGAATCTGCTGTGGCCATGTCCTGTGGTTGGCTGGCTAGTAATGAATATGCATGAACATTGAACTTGCTGAATGAATCTGCTCTGGCCAAATCCTGTGGTTGGCTATTAGTATGCTTGAAAAATCTGCCAAATGTTGTCTCTATAATCCTGCATCTTCCGATAAATCTGCAAACCTGAATTTCCGTTTTTGCTTCTTCAGTTTTTAATTTTTTTTATTTTGCATCCAGATATTCTATAGCGATGCTGACAATTTTGCTGGATTGATTTTGGGATTGAAATTTGAAAAACGTCTGGCATACTGACTTGCTCAGAATGCTTGGCACATTTTAACTTTGAATTCCCCAGACCAAAGACACCGTTGCTAATCACATGATTCGGGGCAAGCTCTTGCATAGTTACGTAAGAGACGCTCAGCTCCAATACATTGTTCACAGTGGGTGAGAATTGCACAAGGACAGACCATGCCGGAGCTGGGGGTTGCTTGCATAAGGCTTGCCCCGAATCACGTGATATCGTAACAGTCTCTTTGGCCGTAAAATGCATGAAGTCAACATGTGCAAGGCATTTGATTAAGTCAGCATTCCAGATTGTACTCAAATTTAACTTGCAAATACTATTAGTTCCTTGGGTTGTTTGTTTGTTTGTTTGTTTGTGTTTTTTTGGTTATGCATGGTTGTTGTTCTTGTTTTTTTAGTGGATGCATGTGCCGGCATGAACTGCAACTTTGGTAGTTGTTTCGCTTCGTCCACTACACCAGATTCGTACTTTTGTCAGTGCAACAGTGGCTACACAGGCAGGCACTGTGATTCTCCGGGTGAGTGTCTTAAGGGACAAACAAAATTGATACCAGGGTCCATGATGTGAATTGAACATTTGAATATATTTTTGGCAAATTTCGAAACAAAAAAACTTTCCCAGGCCAACAAAAGTGCCGCTCTCGTGGTTATAAAGTGCTATAGTATCACCCGTTATACATGGAGCCCAGACTCCTGTCTAACGTCTGATATGTCAAAGCATGCAGATTTATGCGATTTTGCACCTCAGCCAATCGGAGTCGACTTTACTAAATCGTGACGTCATTTCATTCCTAAATCAGGACTTAAAGTTTGATTGGTCAATTCGAATGCAGTGTGTTTGTAATGCAACAACAGCCAGGCGTGTTATCGCATAACATGATAACAGCGCGCGTGACGCAGGGCTTTTTAATCCATTGTCTATGACGCGCAACGGGTGAATGACCGAAGACTTGATATAGACCGCTTGCAGACGCGTTCGATAATTGACGCGCTAAGGTGAGCGACGCCATGTTATGGGACAAAATGTGCGTGAATTGATATACGCCTGTCCCACAACATGGCGTCGCGCGTCTTCGCGCGTCGATTATCGAACGTGTCTGCAAGCGGTCTATAGAAAGCGCCCGCTGATTGGTCAAAATCTGGGATGTCAAGAGGCGGGGTCTTGCCTAATCAATCAGCGAATCTACTCACAAATCTTAGACCCATGGCATTCGCCATTCGCCATGGGTCTATTACATAGACTAATAAAGTGCCCCCTCGAAATGAAAACAAAGCTGCACCTCAAACACACACACATATAAAAGCATGTGATCGCGCTACAACTGAACTGGATATCAAAAGCAAAAGTGTCCCTCTTGCGATACAAAAAAGGTCTCTTTACATAATTAGGTAAAGGAAACACAAAGAGCAAGATGGACAACGTATTCATATTTTGTTCCTCGTCATATAGGTTTATAGCAAAATGAATGGGTCAGTTTTCTTTTCCTCCACTTTGAAAGGGACCCTTTTTCTGAGCAGGTGCCCCTTTTTCTGAGCAGGTGCCCCTTTTGGTGTTGCCCCCTCTCCACCTTCCAGTTTGAAAAGCGTTCCGCCAACCATGACTATCAAAAAACAGGCCAGCTTCAGTAGGGAGGTGAATCACTATCTGGTCAACATGCCATCAGCAGTCAAAAGTGTTTCTTCCTGTTAAGGTCCAGATATGCCTTGAATAAAAAAAAAAAAAATTAAAATAAAAAAGTCACGCTTTTTCATCATACAACTGTGAATAGAACGGAAACATTGTGTTACTCGCAGTGTATACATAGATTTTTGAGGTGATTTTTTTAGCTTTCTCGAGAGAGAATGTGATAAAGTTTTGCCACATGAAACAAATTTCCTAATATTTTGTTGGCGGTTCTGTTCTTCCCTTTGAAACTGCCCTAATTTCTTTGAATTTGTCTGATTAATTTTCTCTCCGGGTATAAATCTAGTTAATGATCCGTGCAGTGGCAACCCTTGCCCAAGCAGCACAGTATGTGTCGTGTCTGGCGCTGGCTATACCTGCAATCCAAGTGAGTAGAAATTGCAGTATGATTTTTGCTTTTAGAGTTGTGGACACCCCACGTCAGACACATTTGTACCGTGCCCCTGTAATAAAAAAACCCTGTGCAATTCTTTGAGGGAAAATTGCCTGAGTGAAATCGCCCTGTTTCCCCCTCCCAACTTATCAACAAAACGTTGTATCAGAAAGGTTTGTATCTACAAAAAAAGGTTTCAGACAAACGAAATATGAAAATGAGCACCTGGCGTTTCGGTTGGGTACAGTCAAACGCCGCTATAACGAACATCCTGGGATCCACAGAAATTGTTCGTAACAGCGATCGTTCGTAATAGCAAATATTAAGCTGCCGGTGCTTCGGTACTCCCTTGTCAATAAACGGCGCCCTTCAGAACTTCACCCTGCACGCCCCGGTAGTTACTGGAAGACGACATTGAACATGTGCCGACTATTAAATAATGTATTATACAGTTGTTGTGCATACTACCTACAGCAATCGGTGGCTTTCCCCTTCTATTACTTAGGGAAATAATAGCCACTTGTCACTCTTCTGTTGACATTAATCAACAACAATGTTTGGTATGTCTTTTACACAAAAATTGGGAGCCAAGGATGATGTTTGGTATAGTCAAATGTTTGGTATAGTGGTGTTCGGTATAGCAACGTTCTACTGTATCGGGTATCCGCGCATCTGTTACCGGCCCTACACTGTTTCTGTTTTGTCAAGAATACACGAATCCAATTCTCTTCGGCAAAACCATGTGTTCACGTCAGTCGTTGGTTTGCTTGTAAGTGCTTCAATATCCTATCTGCGATTCTATCCTGCCCCAATGTACAATTTAAGCGAGTTTCATTTTTGTTGTTATTTTTTGTTTTGCATTATGTTTCTGACAATTCGTCAGGAGAATGCTTTCACAGCATGGCCTGCATAGGTTATGTGATGCAAGGGAATGTTTTTAGTGTTTTTAATAAGGGAATAACAGTGTGAGGATCCGGTCTTCACTGCGTGATAATGACCGGGTGTGGGGGTGAGCGCTGTTAATGGACCGAGACGAAGTCGAGGTCCATTAACAGCGGTCACCCCCAAACCCGGTCATTATCACGCAGTGAAGACCGGATCCTCACACTGTTATTCCCATTGATAAATACCTTTATAACGAAATAAAAGTTAAAATGCTCCAATTTTGAGACTTTTTTCCGACGATATTTCCAGACTTTTTTGTGTTCATGTTCATGGGCCATATTTTAGCTTAACAGCTATAACGACGTAAACTCAACAGAAACTGCTGCCGTAGCGAAACAAACTGTTTTCATATCTTTACCTGATGGAGGAAGCTGAAATCTCGTTTACACATTCCTTGTGTCCGGAATTACAAAGATGCTTGGTTTAGGAAAGGTAAATATGTCGGTGGGTGAAGTGTTTCAAAGAAAATAAATCGTAGATCTACGCTTTCGTCGTAAACATCCTCAGTATATACTGCACTGCTGTACGATGTCGTTTCAAAACTTCCTTACGCGCGCGCACGCACGCATCCCTAGCAACTGTGTTGCGTACGCGCGCGTCAGTCTCACGCGATGGGGGTTGAGCGCATGTGCAGTGCTCAATTGTTAAAAGCTACCGCAGGACTGTTACTATATTTTGACCAATCATTGGCTTGCATGGGGCTGAACGGGGCTTGATCAATGCTGGTTCGGGGGCCATTTATTCGCTTGATCTTTGAAGCCGGTCCATTATCACCGTTAATGACCGGCCACGTGATCGAGTCTCGAACAATCAGAAACCATCAACTCTCCAAGGTATTTATTAATTTTTTTAAATATATTTTCTTGTGTTACCTGTTCTTTTTGTTATGCATGAGTGTTCGTTTTTGTTTGTCAGCGAATCCATGTACAAGTGTGAACTGCAATAACGGACGGTGTTTCACTGCCGCGTCAACACCAAATGGGTACATTTGTGTGTGTGACAGTGGCTACACGGGCATGCACTGTGAAAGCCAGGGTGAGTGTAAAAAGGGACAAGGTTTTATTTAATTCAATAACTTACTCCATGTTAAAAATGTATTGTCCGTGTTCTTCAACAAGTTCCTTCTTTTCTCCCATTAAACAACAATTTTTGTTGTTGTATGTCTGCAATCCTTTGGTTGCATATGTACACTGTTAGATCCGGTTGAGTGATAAAACAGCTTGCCTGCTTTGTCTGTTGACCCAGTTTGACTAGTCACAGTGCTTGATCAACATTATTATCTGACTGCTGGTGACTAGCCCTTGTTAAAAGTGTAGCAGGGGGAAGTGGAAGTGAATTTTGACTCTGTGACTGTTTAAATAGCGGGAGGGTTATTCCAACTTGTGTCCGATTCCAGCTATTATTAAGGGAATAAATGTGTGCTTCGGAGGTTTTTATCACTCTGTTTAAGACCACTTAGAGTCTGGGTGCTGATAATTACCCGAGCCGGAGGCGAGGGTAATTATCAGCACACAGACTCTAAGTGGTCTTAAACAGAATGATAAATACCGACGGAGCACATATTTATTCCCATCCATAAATACCTTATCGGTAACAAAAAATCATATAATTCGTTCAAAACATCCCGATTTTGTTCAACAAATTCACTTTATGCTTTTTGAAACATCCCGATTTTGTTCAACAAATTCACTTTATGCTTTTTGAAACATCCCTCTTGCAAAATAATGGAGTGTTCAGCTGGCGAGTAAGATGTAAACAACCCTTTTATGGCGATGGACGCGCGCGTATCATGCTGTGCGCGATGTCGCGCAGAACGCACCTGGCGCGTTGCGTTTTGAATTTAGAACTTTAAAATTCTGACTCCCTGGTAGTGTTGCGCATGCCTACGTGAGGATTGTGAACGTTCAACCAATGAAACGATAATAGGCACTGTATTTTTAGGAGTCCACATTTAGCCATGTCTTTATCATCCGTTTAAGACCGGCCACCTGACAGGCTCCCGACCAATAGGAAGGCGTAAACTGTCTTAGGTATTTATGAATGCTGGATCAATTGCAAAAAAAGCACTTCTTGGTATTGTCAGTGATGTTTACATTTGCATTGCTCGCCAAGCCTTTGTACTTTGTATAGAGGAAAACTTCTTTGCCGTTGGACAAAGTCCTTTTTTGTCACAATCATTGTTGGTCCCCAAAATTCTTTATTTTTGTTTCTAAACGCTTATTACCACTTCTAGTTCTTTTTATTTCCTTCGTTGTCCAGAGGCCCATTGTTGCCATTGTGTTGACAGCGAAAAGCCTATTTTGAACATTGTGTTGGTACAGTGTGTTTGGGTAGTTACAAAGAAAGGATTGTATCCTTTCCATACATAGCTGGATATCAGTGAAACTTTTACAGACTTTGGTCAATACCCAGACCAAATATTGGCCGAAGATAACAATTTGGTAACCTCTCCCGTTTTTGTCTAAGACAAGAACGTATCCATAAGGACATTTGTTGGACTCACCCTGTATATTAACGAAGAGGTAAGATTATGTGCGTTCTTGCCCGTGTGTTGGTGAAAACATCAAATGATTATCTGAATTGCTTGGCTAATATACATGTATTGTAATATTACGCTGTTTTTACAGAAAAACTATCTTAAAAGAGTGTTTTTTCTGTAAAAAAAAAGAAGAACAAAGGAGATGAGGATGCTTTTGAGGTTGCTATTGAAATATTTTTGTCATTTTAAACCAAAAAGCTAGAAAGCAAAACAAAAAGTGTTTAAATCATGTTTAATTCTTGTTGGCAGCATAATATTTCATTTAAACATTCAGTCATAAATACCTCAGACAGTTTAGCTTTTCCTATTGGTCGAGAGCCCGTCACGTGGCCGGTCTTAAACGGATGATAAAGACATGGCTAGCTGGTCTTAAACACTTTTCCAGTGTCACAATAAAATGTGGACTCCTAAAAATCCAGTGCCCCTTACCGTTTCATTGGTTGAACGTTCACAATCCTCACGTAGGCATGCACAACACTACCAGTGAGTCATAATTTTATAGTTCAAAATTCCAAAAGCAACGCCCCAGATGCGTTCTGGGTGCTGATAATTACCCTCGCCTCCGGCTCGGGTAATTATCAGCACCCAGACTCTAAGCGGTCTTAAACGGAGTGATAAAAACCTCTCGAGCACACATTTATTCCCTATTTTTATTTTGAGTAAAATGCAATTTTCTGAACAACATTGGCTATTGTTGCAATAGTCTGTTGATACACATATAGAGTTGCCTTTGTCTCATTGCTAATGGTCAGATATTTACATTGGATTAAGTTTGAAACATTTGTCGGATGTGGGATCTTTTCTTCTTTTTTTATTTACAGGGGATGGCGGGCCACTTGTGATTAACTGCCCCGCCAACATCATTCAAGAAGTGTCGACTGGCAATCGGAATGGAATTGAAGTAACATGGAATTTACCCACAGTCGCGGACGACAGTGGAATACAACCAACTATCTCCTTGACATCAAATGCACAGCTTGGACCTGGTTCGTTCTTTCCATTTGGAAGCTACACAATTACCTACAGAGCTACTGATGTGGAAGGGAATTCCGAGTCATGTTCCTTTACTGTCACTGTTGGTAAGTTTTCATTTCATCTGTAAGTAACACACAAAAGGAAGACAAGCTACTTTATTAGTGCTATGATATTTTTGTTTAACTCAAATCAACTAATATTTGACAAATAAATGCAAAGGATGAAAGCTTTGTCGTCAGGTCGATGCGCATTGAGCCAGCAAGAAAGCAGATACAAAACACTGCAGCAGACACAGAAACATAACTGGCATGTGCATCATCATAACTCCTTGTTCATAACATTTTGGTGTTTTTTTTATTTCAACTGCACGAGTCTGTTTATTTTCTACTTGCTATGTTGTTTGTTATTTTGCTTCTGTTTTCAATGAAATCATCCGTTGTTTATTTTCAGTGGATCGAGTACCACCTGTACTCAATTGCCCTCCAAATTTTATACGAGAAATAACCAGTGGCAATGGGAATGGAACTGAAGTGTCATGGAATGTTCCTACAGCTACAGACAACAGTGGAGCTGAACCAACTGTCTCCCTGAGCTCAAATTCCCAACAAGGACCTGGTTCCTTCTTCCAGTTTGGAACCTACACCATTGCCTACCTTGCCACAGATGGGACAGGCAATTCCATGACATGTTCTTTTAATGTGACAGTTGGTAAGTTTTTTTCATCAAGGATGTGTTTTTTTCTGAAATTAAGATAAAGTGTGTTAGTTGTGTAAAGTGATTAATTTAGTCTCATTTGAAAAAAAGATAATTGTTTTGGTCTGGGGGTATTTAACATTCCTGCTATAATGTTTGTACAACATACACCAATGAAAGATCTTGAAGTTGAACCTATACTTAGGTTAAATTAGAAATAGCAGACTTGGGTAATTAGTAGACATTTAATTAAGGTCCACAAAACCAACCAGTACATCAAACTCCGGTTACTTTTTACATGGGTAAAAGTTTGCGGAATCAAGAATTGTTAACAAACATAATTCATCCTACACAACATAAATGACTCAAGCAAAAATTAAAAGTTCTTGGCAAGTAGTTTACAGATAGTAAGTCGGAGAATAACCAAGTCAATGTCGCTTAACTTGTGCATGTAAATACAAGTAGTACTTGTTAGAAAAATTAGGGAAATATTAGGGAAATTAAGTCAGGGTATCTCTTTTACAGTTGAGAGTGATCCACCTGTGATTTCCGGCTGTCAAAATAATATCGTCCGATTCCAGCTATTATTGCTGAACCAATTGCAAAAAAAAAGCACTTCTTGGTATTGTCAGTGATGTTTACATTTGCATTGCTCGCCAAGCCTTTGTACTTTGTATGATCACCAACTTTACATACAGTTCCTGCCTTCTTTTTGACATATCCCCTTACATCATAAAATATGTTATGTATTAATTATCGCAATCCGATACCACAGACACTTTTGTTTTTGCAGTTGACATTGGTGATCCATTCTTTGTGGGCTGTCCCACTTCGTTCACTGTGACGGCCCCTTTTGATGCTGGTGCAGACTTCGAGGTGACATGGACACCACCTATGGCATTTGATAATGCTGGAACACCAACAACTATTCTGGTATCCCATAATCCGGGGGACAGGTTTCCTGTTGGCCAGGTGACCACTGTCCTCTACAGATACGCTGATGCTGCAGGCAACACAGGCGACTGTCAGTTTGATGTGACTGTTACACGTGATGGTTGGTTATTACTTTCATTTATAAATATGTATGAATAATTTTTGAGATATATACAAATAACTGCAAGGACAAAAAAACAAACAAAATATGGTATTTCAAATTAACCATTCTGGCAACCATGATCAGAGTCATTACTGGAATATGGTACGGTACCTATGTTCAACATAGTAGGTCAATTTGCACATTACGTGCTATCAATTTTAAGGATGAAAAAGTCTTCAAAAATACCAATTCATGCCGAACCATGGACAGATTTGACAAAAAGAATAGCTATCAAGATCATTGTTCGGAAATACTGCAAACTTTGAAATTTGTTTTCTAAATTGTTTTTTTTAAGTACTTTTTGTTTCATTCAGTGCACGGCATTAAATAAGAATACCAAAAACAAAAATATTATTTTTTTCTGTAGAATTTTCCAGGGCAAAAGATGAAATCACAATGTTTTTGATGGGCTATTCATATGTAATACTAATAATCTTGGCTCAACTGCAGTATTCTATGGCATAATTGAAACTTTAAAGGCTGACGGAGTTGTGTGGTTTTATTGTGAATGGTTCAACTTTGACATTTTGTATTAAAATTGATAGGCCTACACTCTTAAGATGTTCTGGCATAATTTCATTTCAGTTGACAATGTGCCTCCTGTGATCAACTGCCCAGCCAACATCATTCAAGAAGTCACGACTGGCAATCGGAATGGAGTTGAAGTAACGTGGAATTTACCCACAGCTATAGACAACAGTGGATCTACGCCAACTGTCATTCTGACCTCAGATCAACAGCTGGGACCCGGTGCCTTCTTCCAGTTCGGAAGTTACACCATTGCTTATAGCGCCGTTGATGGGGCAAGCAATTCCGCCGAATGTTCCTTTACTGTAACTGTTGGTAAGTTACCATTTCTAGATAAGTTGAAATATTTCGGATTGAAATAATGTAAAAGAGCGTCTCTTTGATTCTCAATTCTGGTCAATCCTAAACGCCGCCATCACTTTTTGTTTAATGACACGGTGAATAAGTCCACAAATATGTATGTAAATAAATAAAGAGCAAAATCGCAAAATCTTTCCGGATAGATAACGTCAAGGGGGACGGGATGTCGGATCTTACCAATAGCAACTGAATGACCAAAGCTGAATCAGATAATACACCCTCGTAAAAGAGAGGGAGAGAGAATACAAACATCATTGATCACTTTGTTCAAGAGTTAAAGGTTAAAGAAATTGGTCAATATATATTAGAAGTTACAAGTTCCTATCATCAAACCGTTTAGGAGAAAACCCGCGGAAACGTATTTTATGGAAAAAAATAAGAAAGAAAGATTAATCGTAACAAGTCCAAAGAGCGGTCGGGATGTGCCCGACCGCTCGAAAATCCAGCCAGAGGTTAAGGCCCCTCCCCCCAAAAGTATCTGTTTTCTGGTATGGAGCTTGTCCAAAAAGTGGTTCGGCGACGCGACTTTTTTTTTTACCTGACTTTTTTGCTTCAAATGTCGGCTGATGACTGCAAATGGTGTCCGACTTAACTTAGTGAAAACATATGGGAGTCCAGAGAGGCTACATCAAGCTTATTCTCGATCATAACCCCAAGTTAAAATTGTGCAGCAGCAGGATTCCAATCAAACCAGTGAGTTTGGCGGTTTTGAGACATCATCTTTCATTGAAAAAAAACCTTTTTCATTTTGCCGACGCGCATGGTGATACAGCGACGCGCGCGCATACCAGAAACCGGAAACTAATTGTTTTGGCCTAATGAAATAACGAGGAAACGCACACATAATTATTATGAAATTGGAAGATTCAGAACTCAATCACAAGTCAGTTATATTTCTTGAATTCATCGCATTATCGCTTAGGAGATATGGAGTTATTTTAGTTCTCACTGAGTATTATATTCATCTGTATTTGCATACATTGTCCGTGCACGACTTTGTATCAAGGCAATTTGCGTTTCATCTAATAATTACCGGTACATGTAAATAAAAGTATTGTTTGCAATTACCCATGAATTTCTTGGTGGTTACGTGTGAGACAGTGATGAGTGATATGAGCAAGTCTCTGAATACCTTAACATCGAGCAAGATATATTGGCCTGTTTATTTTCCACATGCTGTTTTGTTATTTGTCTTCTGTATTCAATGAAATCATCCATTTTTGTGACTTTTCAGTGCATCGAGTACCACCTGTACTCACTTGCCCACCCAACTTTTTTGAAGAAGTCTCAGGTGGCGTTCAGAATGGAATATTGAAATGCCATATGTGCAACGTTTATCCTTTCCCAATCATTGGTCGAAAAGTGCACTATTAAATTATCACTATCTATTCATTTCAGTGGATCGTGTACCACCTGTGATCACTTGCCCAGCTGACATCACCCAACGAGTCACGACTGGCAATCGGAATGGAATTGAAGTAGAATGGAGTCCTGCAACAGCCACAGACAACAGTGGAGCTGAACCAAATGTCTCCCTGGGCTCAAATGCACAACAAGGACCTGGTTCCTTCTTCCAGTTTGGAACCTACAGTATTCTCTACATTGCCTCAGATGGGGCAGGCAATTCCAGGACATGTTCTTTTACTGTGACAGTTGGTAAGTTTTTCATCAAGGATGTGTTTTGTTCTGAAATCAAGATAAAGTGTGTCAGTTGTGTAAAGTGATTACTTTAGTCTGATTTCAAAAACGAGAATTGTTTCGGACTGGGGATATTTAACATTCCTGCTATAATGATTGTACAACAGACACCAATGAAAGAACTTGAAGTTGCACCTATACTAAGGTTAAATTGGTTCAACTTTGACATTTTGTATTAAGATTGATAGGCATACACTCTTAAGATGCTCTGGCATAATTTCATTTCAGTCGACAATGTGCCTCCTGTGATCAACTGTCCAGCCAACATCATTCAAGAAGTCACGACTGGCAATCGGAATGGAGTTGAAGTAACGTGGAATTTACCCACAGCTACAGACAACAGTGGATCTACGCCAGCTGTCATTCTGACCTCAGATCAACAGCTGGGACCCGGTGCCTTCTTCCAGTTCGGAAGTTACACCATTGCTTATAGCGCCGTTGATGGGGCAAGCAATTCCGCCGAATGTTCCTTTACTGTAACTGTTGGTAAGTTACCATTTCTAGATAAGTTGAAATATTCCGGATTGAAATAATGTAAAAGAGCGTCTCTTTGATTCTCAATTCTGGTCAATCCTAAACGCCGCCATCACTTTTTTGTTTAATGACACGGTGAATAAGTCCACAAATATGTATGTAAATAAATAAAGAGCAACATCGCAAAATCTTTCCGGATAGATAACATCAAGGGGGACGGGATGTCGGATCTTACCAATAGCAACTGAATGACCTAAGCTAAATCAGATAATACACCCTCGTAAAAGAGAGGGAGAGAGAATACAAACATCATTGATCACTTTGTTCAAGAGTTAAAGGTTAAAGAAATTGGTCAATATATATTGAAAGTGTAGTGGTCGGCCCTGCTGTCTTATTCAGAGGGGGGAGACTCGTCCACCAGTTAAGGAGGATGGGAGGCAATCACCAAGCGTGGACAATCATCATCGGTTTCTGTCATTAGTTGATTGGTTGATTTATTGATGATCCAGTTGAGATACAATATTTCAATGGAATATAAAAACCCTGTACAATGAAATAGAAAAGCAGACGCTGTGTATTAAAGTCTGCATGTCACAGCGTACACACTATACGTACAATACACTACATGTACCTTCAGTTTGTTTACAATTTCGGTACAAAATGTGTCGAAAGAAATGCCTAAGATTCTCACCCCGACGTCTTCATATCTTTCCTTAAATGACTCCAAAAGCAGCTATACAGCACTTCACTTCAGTTGGTGGGCTGTTCAGATATGGGCCTTCAGATTTTAGCTCGCAAAAGATGGTTTTTGATGTGAATTTGGCTCACATCATACAACGGCATGGTCCGAAGGAAAAGGAACAGGACGTGCCAATCCTGCACGTAGGCCACTTACTTCCGGAAAAGCCCGAAGAAGTCCGAAGCACAAAAACCCAGATTTACTTTAGTAAAATATCATATTTCAGGAGTGATCTAATATTATGAGAAAACTATAAATGTATTTTGCTAACTTATACATGCCCAATAAAATAGTGGGAATAAAGTTTGAGAAATTATAAGAACGTTTTTGTTGTAACTATGTAGTTGCCGAACGCACTTAGCAACCACGAGTCAGTGACGTCATCATGCTTATGGCGCGTACGTAACTTCTTAAAGGGGAAGTCCTAGATCCCTACACGTTCCCTGCTTGAACACCATACGTCCCGGATGGTGACTTAACTATCAAATCAAATATCAATATCTTATAAATCAGAATAAGACATTTTTGAGGTGTTAACTTGAGAACGTTACTTCAAAATGTGAAAAATTACATATTACAGATACTACAACCTCTGAAGTATCCTCTAATAACAAACATATACAAAACCCTTCATGTAATACAATACACAATGGACTTGTGGTAAAACAAAGAGCAACTTAATTAGTGGCATGGGCGTACCCGAACTCTAAGCGAGCAGATGCCTTAAACTACTCTTAAGGCTACAAACAGTGCTCAAACATCAAGCATAATATGACCAAGTCCAATATAGATGACCTGTATGAAAATACATGGTAAAAAAACATATTATGTCCTCAACAATATGTAAAATAAATTATCATCTTAACAGTCAGATATATAATGCAAAATAAGTAGGCTATCCTTTGCCCAGAAATACAAAGAAAATTTGTTCTTCTCGAACATTTACATGTAAAACTAACTGTCAAAGTGAACTTTAATGATTGCAAATGGCAAGAATGTCACAAAACTTTAAGTAACAGATTCAAAAGTGATATATCTAGACATTACATGTCAAGATAATCAAGGTACTTGTTCAAAACCACCTCAATTGTAGTTTGAGAGCATACCGCTACACACGCACATGATAATAAACGATGGAGTCAAAATACAAGCTTTATAAATAACTGGCATTATTCCTGCAAGTGGAGCCAAAGTCAAATAATCATAGCATCAGCACCAAGTGTTTAAAATACACACACAAAAACTTAGGTAACTGATTGATTCATGAATGTGTACATCCTCACAGTAATCATGAAATAAACACTTTGAGATTTCTTTATCCACTCTAGATTAGAACCAAAAACTTATTGGTACATGCCTCCCTATCTAAATAATGTCTCACTCAACGTGATTTGCTACGGTAGAATGCATCCTTTATACCCTTACAATATTTGGTCATGCCCTCTGGGGTCAAATGACACCCATCGACAAGGTACTTTGGGTAGGTCACACGTTTCTGAGGGTACATGTGTGCCCTAGGGTACTCCTGTATGCGCCTGGCAATGAGTGCGTTAAAGCGTTTCACTCTGTGGTTGAATGTAGACACAGGCACTTGGTTTGCTCGTACAATGCGAGACCTCCGAATGACCGTAAAGATCATGATACACCTTGGTGAAATACCATTGAGACCCAAAGTGTCTAAAAACTGAATTGTCTTATCAACCAGAACTTGAGGTGTGACCTCAACATTACATAGGTCGTTTGTCCCCATATCAATACACAATGTATCAATGGTCCTGGATTTCATTTGCCGAGTATAGTGTGCAGTGTTTGAAAAGAACCTTTCGTAAGTTAGGCCTGGGTGATCCTCTATGTACACATCGCACTCACTACTTAATCCTATGTAATCTCCTGCTGATTGGCGGTTTCTCTGAGCCTCTCTTAAAACCCTGGTCGGAAACGAATGACCAAACAGAAACAAAAGGGGTTGCTCCGACATCTTGAGCTGGAAAGTACAAAATATTTGTCATTGCAGTAGATGTAATCAGCCAATGATTAAGGTAAACAATTAAGATAAACAGCTTTCTGAGGCAAACAGTTAAAGTCGACTATTCATTAAGGTAAACAACGATTCAGATTTCCACTGTTGGAAATCAAGCAATGCTTTGCGGAGGACCATCTGATAATCCAGCTCCTGTAACATAACACAAGAGTATCATGGAACAGATAACCTCACACCTTATCCAAATCCTACACCATGTTGGCTTCAACTCCTTTCCCGCTAATATCAAGGATCGCGATCGCGACACAACGCACGCGTTATAACAAAGGTGAAAATTAGCTAATCAACAAAATGGTACGACCAGCACCGCGCCTCGCACACAACATGTACGCATAAAGATCAGCATAGGCCCAAATATTTAGACATGGTTAAGTCCAATGTTATATACAATGTAATATACATGTACATGTAGATATTGTCAGGTGCGTCGAAGAAGAGGTCATTGAGGTGGCTTATGCCAGATCCTGCAGAGCAGGCCGCCTCACCTCATCGCAGATTCTACATGTAGATAATCTTTATCCTGCTACACTAGTGCGTCAGCAGGTAACTACGCTTATCCCTACTATATAATCAATAGCAATAGTAATTTGCCCTCTCCCAAATCGAGGTTAACTATGAGAAAGCATCTTATAATAATAATGCCACTAGAAAAACAACTTTACAAACGGCACCAAAATCATCCCATTAGAAACATCAGAATGTGAGGCACAGGCAACTAAGTAATTTCATCTGGCCAACGACCTGACCGTTTACGCCTAAGCCTCTCAGAACGACGGACATCTGGTTCCTTTGTCGGCTGAGGTTCTGGAATAGCTCTTGGTTCGCTATCTGGAACCGAAGGTTTGGGATGCCTTTCTCCATCTGCTCGCTTAGCTATGATCAAATCACCATCCGAGTCAGATTCGCTTTCTTCCGAACTAGGTCCCATGGTATCACCACAAGTAGGAAGTGGAAGGTCGATCAATGCCCCCTCTTGTAATAAGGGCAACAAGCTCCTTAGGTCCAGTATTAGGGAACCTCTGTTTACCCACTTCATCGGACCACCAAGAGCCGGTCGGACCGCTAACAGATCCTGTTCTGCATTACACTTGAAGACCACGTACTGTTCCTCTCTGAAATGATCCTCTAACTTGTGCCTTTGTTTAAAGGCATGTTGCTTCATCAAAACCCGATCCCCAATCGCGAGTGGGTGAGCCTTAGCCTTCTTGTCGTACTGCCGTTTATTGGCCTCAGCAGCCCGTCTCAGCCGCTCTGCTGCCACTTGGTGTGCACATTGAATGAATTTAGCCTGTTGCGCGATAACACTTTCTTTCCAGCTATTGTGTGTTCTGTTCAGCAAGTGATCAAGGGGTACCATTGGTTCACGCCCAAACATTAGAGAGTATGGCGTATAACCAGTGACGCTGTGGGGCGTTGAGTTGTACATGAAAACCAAATGCTGCAACAATTCTGGCCATTGGTTTCGCTTTTTACCCTCAAGCGACTTGATCAACCCATACAGAGTGCGGTTGAACCTCTCGGTTTGACCATTCCCCTGCGGGTGGTAGGGGCTAGTATGCGTTTTGGTTATGCCATACAGAAGGCACAGTTATCGAATAAGGCGGCTTTCGAAATTTCGCCATCGGAATGGATTTGGGCAGGGACCCCATAGTGCACAAACCAATGGTCACGCAGCATACGGGCTACTGTGGCGGCAGCTTGATCCCGACAAGGCACAGCGATGGCAAACTTTGTAAAAGAGTCCGTCATCACGAGGACATCTTCCACTTTACCACGCCCAGGATTCAACTTTGCGAAATCGATAGCTAATCGTTCCAATGGTCTGAATGCCAGAAGATGCCTCATTGGAGGTCGGACTTTGGGAGTAGGGGCCTTAGCTACGGTGCAGTGGAAACAGTTCTTTATGTGCTCCCGAACATGACCTGCTATGCCAAGCCAATAACAGCGCCTCTTAATGAAGGCTAACGTCCTCCCAGTGCCCTGATGACCCCATTGATCGTGGGCTGCTTCCAGGACAGCTTCGCACAGACACTTAGGAACCAGGACTGGTATACTGGTCCGACACCAGGCTCTTCTACTGACCTGTACAAAACACCATGGGCCTCTACCAACCGCGGCCATTCTCTGATCCAGCCCTTCAACTCGCCCATTGACACCAAGGGATGGTCCTGCCCAGGCTCCCAATGCTGATCCCACAACTGCCAGACTCTGCCCAGTACCTCATCGGCTTTC